GGCCACTGCTCGTGCTGCCGGCACTCGGAGGTTTAGTTCCCGTTAGTGCCCTGGGTGGGGATGCGGACTCTGTGAAATGCTTCTGCACGAGGAGCCCTGTCTTGTCTCAGTCCGGCCGTACATGCAGAGCCTGTGGGTTTTGCTCTCTCTGCAGAAAACACCTCCAGGAGATCCCATCTTCCAGCAGCAATATTTCTACTAGCTTCACCTTGGACCCAGACTCCAGCAAGCCCTCAGAGTTTGTTTCTGGCGTGGGAGTGTCAGCTGGCAACAGTGACAATGCAGACAGTGAAAACACGCCGCAGGACCTCCTAGCAGCATCGCCTAGTCATCTTGTGAAACGGCAGAAGGTGCAGGATGTTACCATAGTGTGCCGGCCTCAGCTACTCAGCGATGCAGACTCAGGTACTGTGACCCTGGTCCAGGTTTTGTTCACCCTTCATTAGAGATGGAGGGTGGGCATCACAAATTATTAGTACTTTATTCTTTTTTTTGGGTTTTTTTTAATTTGCTCTTGCCCAGCAGAATATCACTTCTAGATCTAGTCTCTTTCAGGCTTGGGCTGGTAAGTCTTGTTTTATGTAAACCTTTGAGCAGAGGTGGTGTATCTAGTGCCAGAACTGTGGCCCACATAAGCCATGGTGGGCTTCTGCCAAGCCCCACCGGCCCTGCTCCTGTCTGCCTGCCAGTGGTTGTGTTAGATGTCCCTGTGTCTGCCTGCTCTTGCTACCTGTGACTTGGGCAGGCCCTGAGCTGCATCTGTTGCTCTGCCAAAGGGACTGGTTCCAGAAGGTGTTTCACTGCATACTGAGAGTGAGGCCAGGCTCTTCACAAAGTACAGCTGTGGTTGCCAGATGAATATAGACTATTGGTCCTTTCAGTCTGCAGATACTATGGAATGCAAAACAAAGAAACAGCTCTCTCCAGACACTAGGCTTGGAGTTTTCATAGTCAGCTCTTGAGCTCCACCACCCAGAAATCTGTTAAGTGAATGGCAACACCTTCTGGAGACCTGTATCTCTTCATGAGAAGTTGAGATTGCACCACATCCCTTCAGGTGGTGGGGTGGTAGTTAGCATGCATGTTTTAAAGAGCTGTTTGCAGTAACTGCATTTCTCTGTGTGCTATACAAAAGCATAGCTCACCTTGGGCTCCCTTCTGGGAGTCTGGCATGCCAGGAAGGATGGGCGATACGAAGGAAGTAACTGAGATGCTCTTGTTTCCAAAGTATGTAAACAAAGATTATAAATTTTCAGGGAAATTGTTGTTTTCCATAGCTTATTATGTACACTAAGCTGATGTTCTGAAAGCTTTGCATTTGCCAGCCGTACCTAGGCAAAGATGGCAATCATCTTACTACAATGAAGAACTGAAAGGGGGATGAGTAGTGGGCTGATGCTTGTATAGCTGAGAGAGACTGTAGAGGTGCTTGTAGCAACCGAGCCAAACGAGGCATCTGATCAGCAAGCAAAAATGAGCCGGCTCTAACTAGAACATATTTCCTTTTTCCTTAAAGATGTTTCTTGGGATCTACTTCCAGATGAACTGCTTTTAGCAGTCTTTGTCTGTTTGCCCCTAAATGACTTGCTAAACGTTTCCGTGGTTTGTAAGAGATGGCATCGTATTGCGTAAGTAATTCTCATTATTTTAGTACTAAGAAAACCTTTGCTTCCATGGACTGTTAGATGATCTGGTTCTCATCTTGTTTATGCATGTATAAGTCAGTTTATGCTGTCTGTGGGTTATATATATGCATAATCAAAAGATGTCTTGCATTAGTAAATTATATTAAATCTCTTTCCCCCTCTCAGTCTTTTGTGGCAATGAAAATTTTCTGGGGTTGTACTCCTGGTTCTGACCCTTTCTAACTCACTAACAAGTAAAATTCTGTGCCTTAGGTTTGATGAGTGTCTCTGGGAGACCCTTGATCTGACTGGTAAAAATCTGCTGCCAGGAGCAGTTGGACAGGTGTTGCCTGCAGGTGTTACTGTATTTCGCTGCCCAAGATCTTCTATTGGGAATCCAATGTTTAAAACAAGCAAGTAAGGCTTTTCCTGCAAGTTCTGGATCCTGAAACCATGTTTCAAATATTTTCAGTTTCTCTGTATTTTTGTTTTTAAAGACTCCACCAGTAGTAGCATTTGTGAAGCTGATCTATGGTTAGGTATGTCTTAAAATAGGAGGATCTGCATTCACCTCTGTGCCGGTTTTAGTCAGGACAGAGCTGATTTTCTTCGCAGTGGCTGGTATGAGGCTGGTTTGGATTTGCCCTGGGAAGATTACTGGTAACACCGGTGTTTGTTGCTAAGGAGTGCTTGTACCAAGTCAAGGACTTCTTCAGCTTCTGATGCTGCACCTGCGTTCCCAGCTTTCTTGTCATGAGCAGTGGTGCGGGGGGGAGAGGAAACAGTTCAGACAGCTCACCCAAACTAGCTGGAGCAGGTTTTAATGCATTTTAGTAACTTGCCTTTTTTTTTTGTTTTTCTTTAGACCTCTCAAAATTCAACATATGGATTTGTCGAACTGTATAGTGTCTGTTGCAGATCTCCACAGTATTCTTTGTCTGTGTGAAAGCCTGCAGAGCCTCAGCGTGGAGGGACTAGTGCTTTCTGACGACATCATCAAGTGAGTGACATTTGGGAATATTCAGTAGATACCTTCCGTTGGGTGCAGGCTAGGGAAGGAATGGCGTCGTGAGTTGGTCATTGTGGGAGTCTTTTGAAATGGCCAGTTTTAGGCACCTAAGGGCTAGCTGACACGCCAGATGAGCTGCCTCTTTACTCCCTAAGAGAGGAGGTGAGGAGGAAACACCCCTCTGGAAAAGTGTTTCTTGGTGACTTTTCTTCTTGGGCACAAGAACCACAGCTAGCAGAGCATAAACAAACTAATAGTTTGGGTTTTGATACCTGATCAAAAGTATCTGAAAACTGGGTACTAATTAGGCACCAATGTTGGGATTTTATTACCTTGTGTGTGAATGTAGATACTGGGCGTAAGGGTTTTTCCACGCTCTGCCAATGGCATGTCTGCTCTAGTCTTACAAACAAATGCATTCAGGAGGATGCTGTTTGTGTTTTGTTCTGGAATAGACTCCATCTTGCAGAGCTGCAGAAATGGGATGATTACTTTGGTTTTTGTAAAGATATAGTCACGTCTAATAAGCCATGGTGTGTATTTAATGGCATACAACAGGAGATGATGAAATTAAATTGTTTCCTTTTAAACTTAGCAGTTTATAGGTATGCAGACTTGCCAGGAAGTACTTCTGCTGTAATGCAGCAAGTACAGAGGTGAGATCCTTAGTGACTCTTAAGTTGGTCAGTTTACTAAAGATGCAGTGCTGCATGTTTAGTGAATAAGTCTATGCCCAGGATCTTAGCTCTTTAAAAATAATCACACATCCTAGAAATGCAAGCAATGTTCCCACACTTACCACTTATCTATTTGTTTTTCTTTCTACAGGAGCATTGCAAAGAATCATGGTTTGATACGACTAAATCTCTGTGGGTGCTCAGGGTTTTCTCCAGATGCCTTGGGGCTGATGTTGAGCAGCCTTTGTAGGTAAGACAAAAATAGCTTTTGCTATGCCTGAGAAAAAGGATCCTTTAATTTTTTTTTCCATAGGCATCCTTATTGTATTTATCTCTAATATCTTTGAGCCTGTTTCTGTTCCTAAGTGCCTAACAGTTGATTATTAGCTGAATGGTTTTAGTTTCTTTACATCAAGCTATTTTCTTCTTTAATAACAAAGATGTACTTCAGTAGTTTTTCATGAGTTCCTTATTCATCCTTAAAGGGAGTCTTGTTGGCGGGCAAGCCCCATTTATGTTCCTTTTGATTATCATGTAAATTTGATTTTCTGAATGAAAGCAGTATGTGATCCTCACAAAGTGAAAGTGTGTGTTTTGAAACTAAAAAGTGGAGTCCCATAGCTCCCTTGGCAATCAGAGTGCAGCATGAATGACAGAAAACACTGTGCCTTTCCATCCATGATAGAAGGTTACTGACGGATTATTCTACATTATGAAGCACTGTGTTCAGATTGACAGCTCCAGTGATTAAACCATCTGCTGGCAGGAAGTCACTGAACTGAGCCCTAGTCCGTCTGGGATTTATATCCTGAACTTTCTGCTGACTTCCTGTGAGATGCTGGACAACCTACTTTAATCTTTTCTTCTGCAAAAGCATGTTTTTAATCAAACTGCAAGCTACTGGACAGACTAAGCCTTATCTGCCTCTCATGGGTAGATAATGCTTTCTATTGCTTGGTCTGATTACTTGGATCATGAGCCCTTTAGAGAATGGCAGCCTGTATGGTGCACAGGGAATAGCAGATGGCAAACAGATCCTAAGAATGCTAGTCACAGTTTAACTGGGAATTTACAATTTCATGTAGGTTTCCAGCTAAATGCTGTAATTGTGCTGTCCACTGTGTCTTTGTCTTCTAGTTATATTTACAACACCTGCACAAAACAAATACTTTGTCCCAGGCCTGAATGGTGTTAGACTCTAGGTAATTGGGTATGTAAAGAGTTAAGGTCACAGTATGGCCAGTGCTTCTATAAAACTATGAAGTATTTTATGCTAATTAGGATTAATTGGTCATCTGACCAGTGCTAATGGTGGATAGCCTTTTTTCCCCTCAGCGTGAACATCTGTTCAGTAGTAACAGATTCAGGTCACAAATCCAGCAGCAAGATGAAAAGAGAGTGTCTCCCTGTGGTGGTCACTGGAGAGAACCATTTCACTTCCTACAATACTGAATCATTCCAATTGGAAGTGACCTTGGATAGTCACTTTTAACCTCTTGCCAGGGCAGGGTCTAAATTCAACACTGGCCAGGTTGATGGGTCTTGAGAATCTTCAAAGAGATTCCACGGCTTTGCTGGGCAACCTGCTCCAATGCTTAATTGTGATCATAGTGAAATCTGTAGTCGTGAACACAGGAAGTTGGTATTAGGTGTCTTACAAATTTTTGTCTTAAAAGTGTTAACTGTAATAGCTAATATCTGAACTCAAACTGTATTCTAGTCATTCTTCCAAACAACTTTTTTTATTTTTGTGTAGGTTGGAGGAGCTGAACTTGTCCTGGTGTGACTTCACATTCGCGCATGTCAGCATAGCAGTTAATCATATTACTCCAAAAGTAACCCATTTAAATCTCAGTGGATACAGACAAAGGCTAGAAGTACCAGGTAAATAGCACCTTGGCAAACCTTTATCCCCACTATGGGATAAAGCATCAGGCTTTATATTTTATTCTGGTTGGCATCTGCTGTGTGCTTAGAAAAGTCATGCACAAACATTGACTTTTGTGCTCTGTATAGCTTGGTGTTCTTGCTGTCAGAGAATCTTACATGTGCTTCTGGCTCAGCCATGAGGGGTGAGGTGATTCATCTTCTGAATTTAAAAATAGGCGGGTGAAAAACTATTTTCATCTTCAGTTGAAAGGTAATGGCTTCAATTCTGAAGTAAGTCCTGGAAGCAGGTTACACTGAGTGCTGTGTTCCCCTGTAAACTGTGAATTAGCCTTCTTTTTATGGTTCTTGGAGCATTTGTAAGGCTTCTGCCATTGTGGCTGCTGAAGGCACCTTCCAAAAGAGAACAGTCATGGTAACTACAGATACCAGTAATTTGGAAGGGAAATAATGTCAGTAATCAACATTAGCTATTTACTCACTTTCCCTCCTTGAACTATGTTAGCTGGGTAAAATTGGAGGGTCGTAGAAAATGCAGAAAAGTCTAGACCTGGGGAGAGGGCACAACAAAATGGACAAGAGCATAGATAATGGATAAAATGGCTTTGGTGGAAAAAAGAAATTAACTTTCTCAGTGAGCAGATGTGATGATTGGGCATTGGCTGAGAAGCAGGTAGGTGACACAGGCTGTGACCTCGCTTTTTTCTGTTTAAATGTCACGCAGACCTCAGCATGCATTCCACTGTGGGGAAACATACCAGTCTTTTTGTGTCACTCCAAACCCCATAATCAAGCATGCTACATAGCCTCCTCCAAATCAGAAATTTGAACCTTCTGTTGATCAATAGAGACAATGTGTGGAGCTCTTCTGGTTGCAAAACACTTTTAGTTTCCTATTGGAAGGTTCTATTGAAACTTTCACTGTTTCAGTAAAATTTATAAGGCATAAGATTTGAATAGTTACCTAAATTATGATTAGTATCTTTCTGAAATACCAAAATCCTCTTAAATGTTGATCAGTCACTTGCTAAGATGAGTGGCCTTCTAGGTGATATGAGCCACAGGTGATTCTGTGCTGTTTGCAGGCAATGAAAAGATGGTCTCAAGAATTTACAGTTGAAATCAGGAAAATAACTATGTCATGAGAAAGGAACTTTCTGTTGTAAAAATGGAGATGCCTAAAGAACTTGATGCTCTGAAAGGGTATTGGATGTGTGGAAAATTTGGTTGTTTTTTTTTTTCCACTGCGTGGAAGAATTTCACACATCTCACCATTACTGTGTCTCCATAGATTTTACAGCATTATAATTTGAATTATTCACTTGCTATGTTGCTGGCATAACCGACTTTTAGGAACACATCTTTGACTAAATGGATCTGTTTTGCTGAGGATTAAAAAATGTCCCTGTAAGGTATTTGGTAGGCAGACTATATGCTGTAAGTCTTTAAGTGTGTATCTTCTTGTTAAAAAGTTGTTTTTCAATTGTGGGGTTCCATTAGAGAAGACAGAAATGAACATACATGGAAGCGAGTAGAGTCTATAAAGCACATTTGTCTTATTATTGGAAGATGGACTGGTTCTGTATGACCTCTTTTCAGATATAAGACGACTGGTGGAAAGATGTCGTTTACTTGTCCATTTAGATCTAAGGTAAGAAGACATGTGCAGCTAGTCCTTAAATCCTTACAGTTCAGGGGATTGCCAATTCTGTTGTGGTGCAGTAATTACATAGCAATTGTGCATGACTCTAGCTCTGAACAACCAGAAAATACTTTCTATGCTACACCTAGAAAAGATTTGCTATCTGGCATGACGTAATGTGGAGAAGGTAACAAACTTGATTACTTTGCTAACTTAGCAGAAATGTTATACATGCAAAACCAGTAGAGCCACCAACAGGTGCCCAGAGCCTGGAGAAGAATCGCAGGTCACCAGGAGAGCACCTGGCAAGCAAACCAAGGGAATTCCATCTCCTCCAATCCACAAGCCACCTTCATTAGGGGCTCATCTGAAATGCCTCTATGCGAACGCATGGAGCATGGGGAACAATCAAGAGGAGCTAAAGGCCTGCCCACACGTGACGGGCTGTGACCTCATTGGCAT